AATGGCGGTGCAGTGGCAGCCGCTCCTGTCGCTGCTCAGCGAGATGTTGGGAGTGAAGCTGGAAACCGCCATCGTCTGCTACGGCGCCCCGATCAGCGCGTTCGTGAAGGGCGCGCGGGGGCAGCGGCCGCGGGCCTGGGCGATGTTTGGCGACGCTCTCGGAGTGAAGTTGGGGCCCGCCATCGTCTGCTACGTCGCCCCGATCCGCGCGTGAGAGGGGGGGCAGTGGCAGACGGGGCGCTGCTCGGCGCGGCGTTGGGAGTGAAGCTGGGGCCCGTTATCGTCTGCTACGGTCTCTCGATCAGCGCGTGCGACGAGGGCGGGCAGGGGCAGTGGCAGCCGGCTCTGGCGCTGCTCAGCGAACTGTTGGGATTGAAGCTGGATCCCGCCATGGTTTGCTGCGGAGCCCCGATCGGCAAGCGCGAGCCGGGCGGGCGTGGGCAGTGGCAGCCAGTCCTCGTGCTGCTCAGCGAGATTGGGAGTGAAGCTGGAGCCCGCCATGATGTGCTACAGCGCCCCGATCAGCGAGTTCACGAAGGGGCGGTGGCAGCCGGCCCTGGCGTTGCTCGGTAAGTCGCTAGGAGTGGAGCTGGAGCCCGCCGTCGTCTACAGCGCCCTGATCAGCGCGTGCGAGAAGGATGGGCAGGGGCAGTGGGGGCCTGCCAAGGCGCAGCTCATTGAGATGTTGGGAGTGAAGCCGGAGCCCGCCATCATCTGCGACGGCGCCGCGATCAGCGTGTTCGTGAAGAGCGCGCAGGGGCAGCGGCCGCGGGCCCCGTCGCTGCCGCGCGATCCCGCCGCTGATCGAGGCGTGCGAGATTGGCGGGCAGGGGCAGTGGTGGCCGGCCCTGGCGCTTTCCAGCGGGCTCTTTCCAGTTGAGCTGGAGCCCGAATTCGTGTGCTGCGGCGCCCTGATCGGCAAGTCCGCGAAGGGCGCCCATTGGCAGCGGCAGCCGGTCCTCGCGCTGCTTGGCGAGGCGTTGGGAGTGAAGCTGGGGCACATTTTCGCGGCTACAGCGCCCTGATCAGCGCGTGGGATAAATTGCAGCGGCAGACGGCCCTGGCGCTGCTCGGCAAGCTGTCGGGGGTGAAGCTGGATCCCGCCATCGTGTGCCACATCGCCCCGATCAGCCAGTGCGAGAAGGGGCAGTGGCAGCCGCCCCCGGCGTTGCTCGGCGAGTCGCTGGGAGCGTGCCCGCCATCGCTGGCCACGGCGCCCTGGCCAGCCCGCGCGAGAAGGACGGGCCGCCCTCATCTGTTACAGCGCTTGATCAGCGCGCGCGGAGAGGGCGGGTAGGGGCGGTGGCGGCTGGCCCTGGCGTTGCTCAGCAAGGTGTTGGGAGTGAAGCTGGAGCCCGCCGTAATCTGCTACAGCACCCTGATCAGCGCGTGCGAGAAGGGCGGGCAGGGGTAGTGGCAGCCGGCCCTGGCGTTGCTCAGCGAGATGTCGGAATTGAAGTTGTATATCATTTCTATCTGCTGCAGCACCTTGATCAGCGCGTGCGGCAAGGGCGGGCAGGGGCAGCGGCAGCCGGCCTTGGCACGGCTCAGCAAGCCGTCGGGGGTGAAGCTGGAGTCCGCCATCATCGGCAGACTCTTCATGGGGGGGGATCCCATGGGGGGATAGGATCCCAGGGGGGGGACCCCATGGGATCCCCTGGGGATCCCATGGGGAGTCTCCCGACATCATCTGCTACGGCGCCCTGCAGCGTGCGAGAAGGGCGAGCGAGGGCAGTGGCAGACAGTTCTGGCGTTGCTCAGCAAGCTGTTTGGGAGTGTGTTTGAAGGCCATTATCATGTGCTACAGCGCCCCCATTCGCCAGTGCGGGAAAGGGCAGTGGCAGCCAGCTCTGGTGTTGCTCGGCGATTCGCTGGGGGTGCAGCTGGGGCCCGCCATCATGTGCTACGGCGCCCTGATCAGCGCGCGCGACGAGGACGGGCAGGGGCAGTGGCGGCAGCCGGCCTGGGCGCTGCTCGGCATGCTGTCGGAGGTGTTGGGAGTGAAGCTGGGGCCCGCCATCATCTGTTGCAGCGCCCTGGTCAGCGTGTGGGGTGGGGGGCGGTGGCCGCCGGTCTTGGCGCTGCGCAGCGAGATGTTGGGAGTGAAGGTGGAGCCCGCCATCATGTGCTATGGCGCCCCGATCAGCGCGTGGGAGAAGGGGCAGTGGCAGCCGGCCCTTGTGCTGCGCGGCGCGACGTTGAGAGTGGACCTGGAGCCCGGCGCCGTCTGCCACGGCACTCCGATCAGCCAGTGCGAGAAGAGGCAGTGGCAGCCAGCGCGGGCGTCGCTCGGCGAGATGCTGGGAGTGTATCTGGGGCCCACCATCATTAGCTGCAGTGCCCTGATCAGCCCGCGCGAGACGGGCGGGCAGTGGCGGTGGCAGCCGGCTCTGGCGATGCTCAGCAAGCTGTTGGGAGTGTTGGGGGGGGGGGCGCTGGGGCCCGCCATCATCTGCTGCAGCGCCCCGATCGGCAATTGCGAAAAGGACGGGCTTGGGCTGTGGCAGCCAGTCTTGGCGTTGCTCAGCAAGATGTTCGGAGTGAAGCTAGGGCTTGCCATCGGCTGCTACAGCGGCCCGAGCGGTGAGTTCGTGAAAGACGGGCAGTGGCCGCGGGGGCCGGCCCTGGCGCGGCTCAGCGAAGGTTTGTGAGTGAAGCTGCAGCCCGCTTTGTTTCGCTGCGACACTTTCATCTGCTGCGGCACCGTGATCAGCGCGTGCGAGAAGGACGGGCAAGGTCAGTAGCAGCTGGCCCCAGCGCCGCACAGCGATATGTTGGGGGTGAGACTGGAGCCCACCATCATGTGCTACAGCGCGCCGATCAGCGCGCATGGCATTTGCAGCCCGCCATGGCGGTGCTCGGATCATCGGGCCAGAGAGCGCGTCCGAGTCTTCTGCGGGGCGCTGGTGGGAGTGCCGTGGAGCAAGCGGCCCGCGCCTCCCCGTTGACCTCTCTGCCGTTGGCGCCGACGTGCCGTGGAGCAAACGGCCCGCGCCTCGCCGTTGACCTCTCTGCCGTTGGCGCCGCCGCAGCTCCTCGCTTGCGAGAAGTGCGTGCAGTGTCGGCCGGGCGCCGCGGCAAACGCGTGCGAGATGCGCGGGGGCAGTAGCAGAACTGACAGTAGGGGCGAATGCGGATGGCAGTGGCGGCGCGGTGAGCAGGGGCGGCAGTGGCGGCGCGGTTGGACGAGGTGGAGAGGGGGAGTGATTCGGAGGGGTACAACAACCCCCCCCCTCCCGCTCCGCTCAGCCTCCAGCTCCCCGCCTCTCGCCGAGCGAACGTGGCTGGGCCGGCCCCGCCGGGCCTGCGCCCGCGGCCCGCGTGGTCGGCAGGGGCCCCTTCCTTTGCCCGCAGCGACCGCTGCCCGCTGGGGGGTCGCCGCCGCTGCGGTTCACCTTTGGCTCTGCTGGTCCGGCCGCTGCCGGCGCTGCCGTTTTCCCTTGTCTGTCTTGGCCGGTCGTCAACCGGCTCGGCTTCCGCCGCCGCCCCGGGCCGCGATGCTGTGCCTCGACCGCGGCCGGCCTGCCGGCCCCCGCGCGCTTGTCCGCAGGGCGCGGGCGCGCGACGGCCCCTGCGCCACTGGCGGTCCCGCGCCGTTCGCTTCTCGGGCCTCCGCCGCTGCGGCCCGCCCCCGCCTTGCCCGCGCAGCCCGCCGCCGCCCGGGCCGTCTTTTCCGTCGCTCTGAGGGCTAGCCCGCGCGCCGCATGCGCTGGGCTGCACGCGTTCCTGCAGTGATGCCGTGCCCTGGCTGAGCGTGGCGTCTCTTTCTTTCTGCCTCGTTCCACCTCGCCCCGCGCCCGGAGTGCTCTGGGCCGCCCGCCCTGAGGGGCCGTCGCTGCGATGGGGGGGAGTTAATTCTTTTTTTTTTTGTTTCCCCAACGTCTTGGGCGTTTTCCCGCGCCCCCCCCCGGAAAACAAACTTCCCAACTTGGTTGCAAATATGGGTTATGGGGCTTTCCAGGGCCCCGCCATGATGCGCCGAATATCGTGCCTGACCCCCGAAAAAAGAGTCCGAATGCAGGCGGCGCGTTTGTGGCGCGCGCCCGAAAATTTATATTTGATTTATCTGGGGGCGGCCCAGCGAGGCGCCCGAAGACGAAATTCGGGATTGTCGCCCTGCCCCCCCCATTTTTTGTTTGTTTTGTTTTGTTGTTTTTTGTTTTGTTTTTTTTCCCCCTTCTGTTTTTTCGTGATGTTTCTCCTGGGGGTTGTTCTGGCGTATTCCCCGGGGGGGCGACAAATAACGATTATATATATATATATGTAGAAAAGGTTTAACCGAACATTTCCCAAACACCCAAACAAGCATCATTCAACAAACGCCCAAACAACCCCCGAGCAACCCGGGACTCGGAGCAGGGGCAGTTTAATCACAACCCCCTGCATCGTGATGCGGGGTGAATTTCCCAGGATATCCCCACTGTTTTTGGGGGTCATCTTCTAGGTTTTGTTTTTATTTTGATTACTACCAAAAGTTGTTTATGGGAGTTGTTTGTTTCTTTGTTTATTTGTTTATCAGTTGTGTTGCAGGTTTTGTTGTTGCTTTTTCGTTTTTTTATTTTATGTGTGTGATGTTTTTTTGTTTTCGTCGACTGGTTGAAAGGTTTACGGGCGCCCGCAATTCGCATTGGTTTTGTTGTAGGTAGAAAAGAACATAAACCCCCAAACGCCTGACCCCCCCGAGAAGTCTCCGAAACAACTCATAAGCAAACAGCCCATCCGGGATTTTTTCTGGTCTTTTTCGGGAGTTTCCCGGGGACGGTCCAACAAAATCCGTTCAATAGCTAGTCGGGATAACCCACCCCCAGAACCTCCCATCTGTTTATCCGTAGTTGGTGTCTTTATCTTATCTATCTGATTTTCGGGGGAGGAATTTCCGAAGCACCTACCAATTCTTGTTTTATAGAAAATGGTGTTCTCCTGCGGTTTGGCGTGGTTGGTGCGAGCTCGCCGCGGTTGAAGGGCCTGCTTCTGCCCCCCGCCGCCCTGCCGCGGCGCAGGCGCTGCTGGAGGCGGACGTCAACGTGCGGTACGTATCCGAACTGCGCAGCGCCATCCGCAACCAGCTGCGGTTGGACGAGGCGCGCGCCTCGTCGTTCCGTTGGGGATCGCCCATGGCCTCCGGAGATCTCCAGGGACCATAGCCCCCTGGGGACATCAGGGCGCTCCTCCTCGCCTTGGAGGGTTTCGTCGAAGGGCTTAGGCGACCCTTCCTCTTTCTCTCTCCTTCTCCTCCTTCTCGTCCTCCTCTTCCTCCTCCTCCTCCTCCATCTCCTCTTCTCCCTCCTCCTCCTCCTCCTTCACCTCCTCCTCCTCCTCCTCCTCCTCCTCCTCCTCGGATCGCCTACGGCCCCGGGGGAAACCGTGCATTTCAGAGGGGGCTCCTCCTCGCCTTGCTCGTGCTCTTCCTCGTCGTTGTCGTTTCCCTGGGGAGTGGCGCCCGCACGCCCGATGTGAGCTGTGTGATTTTGCGCCGTCGAGGATGACGGAACCGAGCCGAGCCGTCGTTTTCGTCTTCCTCGTCGTCGCCGTGGCAGTCCTCCTCCCCCCCCTGCGGTCCCGTGGGTCCCAGAAGCGGCAGGGCATTTGTGTACCGTTTTTGAAGGAACGGTTTCTGGAACATGAGGGCGGAAACGAACGGCTCCAAATGATACTCGGGGGCAGAAACGGCTCCGAGACTGGATGCCGAAGTGGCACTGGAAAGATTCCGGCGAGACCGAAGTGGAAAATCGAACACGGCGCCAGAACCAACGGCAAACACTGCAAGAGGAGCCGGTAACAAAAACACGGCCCTGTTGTTTCCAGGGCCCACGAAGTGTCGGACTGGGCTCGGCTGCTCCTGGAGCGGGGCAGCGTGTGCGCCGCTGCCCCCCCTCGCCCCTCGTCCTCGTCGTCCTCCTCCTCCTCCTCCTTCTCCTCCTCCTCCTCCTCCTCCTCCTCCTCCTCCTCCTCCTCCTCCTCCTCCTCCTCCTCCTCCTCCTCCTCCTCCTCCTCCTCCCCCATTCCCTCCTCCCCCTCCTCCCCCCGCCCCTCTGGCCGCAGCCCAGCTCCTTCGGCAGGTGGGCCGTCGCGCGGTGAATTTTTTCGCGGCCGTTACGGCGCGGCGAGCCCCGGCAGACATCCGCGGGCACCACGTGCTCGTGTCGCTACGAAGTCGAGGGGGCCCGAGGGAAACGAGTCCTGAGGTGTGTCCCCGTCCTCGGGCCGTCGGTGCCCCGCACGGGCCCTGGGGTCGCGCAGGCAGTGGCTCAGGGGAAGACTCGGGTCCCGTGGGAGGGCCCGGGGTCCAGGACCTTCCATGATACATTTATGTCGGGCGTGTCCCCCTACAGGGGGATGTTCGACGAACAATAAAAAATACCCCCCAAATACCCCAACAAAGTCAAACAATACTTGAAAAATTAATCCCCAGATTATTTTTGGACTATCTTTTGACTATTTTAGGGGTATCTTTTATTGTTCATCGTAAATCCCCCTGTAGGGGGACAGGCCCGACTTACTGATACAGATGTTCGTGGTGTCTGTCGAATGCAGTCGACCCGCATGGTAAGGATGGGCACCCTTCCCAAGGGTACCCTTGCATCCTTCCCCTTGGGCCCATCCTCGGCCGCTTTCGCTGGCCGCGCCCCGCTCGCAAAGGGTCGACGTGGCCCTCCAGGGCCCTTGCATCCTCATCGTGCATCCTCGCTATACGGGCTTACTGTACCGCCGAGCAGCACCTGCCTTCCCGCCGCCGAGGAGGAGGAGGAGGCGAAGGAGGAGGAGGAGGAGGAGGAGGAGGAGGAGGAGGCGAAGGAGGAGGAGGAGGAGGAGGAGGAGGAGGAGGACCCTGTTGCCTCCCTTGCCTCTCCCCTGCCAGCGGGGGCGTGTTTGCCCGCCGGCTCGGGCGCACGCGCCGGCGCCCCTGCCCTCCTTTCCCGTCCTCCTTTCGTTCTCTTCGCACTCGCCTCGTCGTCCTCGTCGTCCTCGCCGTCGTTGTCGTCCTCGCCGTCGTCGTGGTGGTCGTCGTGATCGTTGTCGTGGTCGTGGTCGTGGTCGTGGTCGTGGTCGTGGTCGTGGTCTTCCTCGTCGCCGCCGCCGCCGCCGCCGCCGTCGTCGTCGCCGTCGTCGTCGTCGTCGCCGCCGCCGTCGTCGTAGGCGGCGGCGGCGGCTGCGTCGTCGTCGTCGTCGTCGTCGTCGTCGTCGTCGTCGTCGTCGTCGTCGTCCTCCACCGCCGGCGCGCGGAGGCGCTGGCCGCCGGCACGAACCGCAGGAGGCGCGCGGTGCCCCTCGCCGCCCCCTCGTGGGCAGAGGCGGACCCAGACATGCGACGTCCTGAACAAAATCGGGACGGAGGTGTGTGCTTCTCTAGGGGAACGGAGGATGACACAAGCCTAAAAGCTCGGAGGTCCGCGCGGATTTCTCGGATCGGCGCTGGGGCCCCCTGGCGGCGCCTCCGGCGCCGCCCCTGGCGCGCTCCGCGCGCCAGGGGCGGGGGGTCCAGCGCGGATCCGAGAAATCCGCGCGGACCTCCGAGTTTTTATGTTTACGTCATTATTCGTTCTCCTATTCTCGACTTTCGACCTCTTGTAGGGGAACAAAAAGGGACATAAGCATAAAGACTCGGGCCCCCTTGCGGCGCCTCCGGCGCCGCCCCTGGCGCGCTCCGCGCGCCAGGGGCGGGGGGTCCAGCGCCGATCCGAGAAATCCGCGCGGACTTCCGAGTTTTGATGTGTATGTCACTTTTTGTTTTCCGAATCAATGGGCCCTGGATTAGCGACGGGTCCCGTTTCCATTGGAAGTCGCGGACTTCCGCCGCCGAGCGAGCCGGCACCGGCCGCATTTTGGGGAGGGTGCCTCCCCCGATCCATGGATGCTCCCCGTTCCAGCGGGTTCCGGAACGCTCTCAGAGCGTTCCTGAACGCTCTGAGAGGGCCGCGGCGCTCGACACATCCTCCAGAGCCGTTGTATCTCAGAGATTTTCGACTTATGTTCACCCGAATTTTTCCTCGTCCTGGCTTCGTCTTATCCCTCCAGTCCTCCTGCGCGTCCTCCTTCCCCTGCTTCCCCTCCTCTTCGAACCCTTCCTCCTGCATCTCTTCCTCCGTCCGTCTCGTCGTTGTTGTCGCCGTCGTCGTCGTCCTCCTCCTCCTACCTCCTCCTTGTCCTCGACCTCCTTCTCGTCCTCCTCGGCCTTATTCCCGATTGCGCCAGAAACCAAACTCGCAGCTCGGGGGGAAGACTGCAGAATGTCGGCGGGCGAGGAGAAGAATGAGAGGATGGAGGAGAGAGGGGGGAGGAGAAGCAGGGAGGAGGGAGCAGGAGGGCAGACGAGCACGGATGATGAACGATGACGGTGGAGGAGGTGGTGGAGGAGGAGGAGGGAGGCGGATGATGATGCTGTTGCTGCTGCTGATGATGCTGCTGCTGACGATGATGATGATGCTGCTGCTGATGATGATGATGATGATGATGATGCTGAGTCTGCTGATGATGCTTATGCTGATGATGACCTTGATGCTGCTGCTGCTGCTGATGATGATGATGATGATGGCGATGGTGATGATGATGCTGATGATGACGATGATGATGACGATGTTAATGATGATGACCATGACGATGATGATGATGATGATGATGATGATGATGATGGTAATGGTGGCGATGATGATGATGATGAGGATGCTGATGATGACGATGATGATGATTCTGATGATGATGCTGCTGTTGATGATGACGTTGACGATGCTGACGATGATGATGCTGCTGACGATGATGATTATGCTGATGATGCTGATGATGATGACGATGATGTGACGATGACGATGATTACGATGCTGATGATGATGACGATGATGATGACGATGATTATGAGGATGCTGATGATGAAGATTATGCTGATGATGATGATGCTGATGACCATGACGATGACGATGATGCTGATGATGATGACGATGATGATGATGATGATGATGACGATGACGGTGACGCTGATGCTGATGCTGCTGATGATGACGATGATGATGCTGATGCTGATGATGATGATTATGATGATGATAGTGGTGATGCTGATGACGTTGAGGATGATTATGATGATGATATTGACGATGACGATGCTGATGATTGTACGATTATGATGATATGATGATGACGACCTTGATGCTGCTGTGGTGATGATGATGGCCATGGTGATGATGATAGTGATGATGATGCTGATGCTGATGATGGCGACGATAAGTATGGTGATTATGATGACGACGATGATGATCACGATGACGATGCGGATGATGATAATGATGATGATGACGATGATGTCGATGCTGATGATGATGCTGATGATGATGACGATGATGATGATGATGATGATGATGATGATGATGACGATGACGAAAAGGAGAGGAGGATGAGGAGTGGAGGAGGCGGATGATGATGATGATGATGATGATGATGATGATGATGATGATGATGATGGCGATGACTTTGACGATGCTGATGCAGATGATGATGATGACGACGACGATGATGATGAGGCTGATGATTATGAGGAGCGGAAGGAGGAGGCGAATAATGCTAATGATTATGACGATGATGCTGCTGCTGCTGATGATGATGATGATGATGATGATGATGATGATGCTATTGATGATGATGCTGATGATGATGCTGATGATGATGATGCTGATGATGATGATGATGATGATGATGAAAATGATGATGACAATGATGACGATGCTGATGATGACGATGTTGATGATGATGCTGATGATGACGATGCTGATGCTGCTGATGCTGATGCTGATGCTGATGATGATGCTGCTGCTGATGATGATGATGCTGCTGCTGATAATGATGATGATGACGATGACGATGACGATGACGATGATGATGATGATGATGATGATGATGATGATGATGATGATGATGATGATGATGATGATGATGATGATGATGATGATGATGATGATGATGATGATGATGATGATGATGATGATGATGATGATGATGATGATGATGATGATGATGATGATGATGATGCTGAAGATGCTGATGACGAGGACGCGACGACTACGACGACGACGACGACGCGCGGCGACGACGACGACGATGCTGGTGATGAGGAGAGGAGGAGGAGGAGGTAAGGAGGGGTAGGGGGAGAGGAGGAGGAGGAGGAGGAGGAGGAGGAGAAGGAGAGGAGGAGGAGGAGGAGGAGGAGGAGGAGGGGAGGAGGAGGATGGTGGAGGAGGAGGGGGAGGAGGCGGAGGAGAATTTGGATGGCAGGAGTTGTTTTCCTCGGGTTCTAGGTGCCTCTTTTGGAGGTGTAGCCCAGGAGGCCTCCCTGGGGGCCCTCACCGGTCGTTTTTTCAGGTGGGGCTGCCGGGGTGATCGAAGGCGCCAGCAGCAGTAGCAGCAGAGTCGTCTGTAGTCTCGAGTATCGAGGAAAAGGCAGTAGGGTGAAGGTACCTAGTGTGACCAGGATGGCAGAGCAAGGATGGTAATGATAAGTAATTGGAATCGGTTCACGGTGATGATTGTCACGATGATGATGATGATGATGATGATGATGATTGATGATGATGATGATGATGATGATGATGATGATGATGATGATGATGATGATGATGATGATGATGATGATGATGATGATGATGATGATGATGATGATGATGATTTTGATGGTGATGATGACGATGGTCATGATGATATTGCTGCTGCTGCTGATGATGAAGATTATGCTGCATATGATGATGATGATGATGATGATGATGATGATGATGATGATGATGATGATGATGATTATGATAATGCAGGTGATCATGACGATGACGATGATGATGCTGAGGATGCTGATGATGATGATGATGATGGTGATGATGATGATGATGATGACGATGTGGATATGATGATGATGATGATGATGATGATGATGATGATGATGATGATGATGATGATGATGATGATGGTGATGGTGGTGATGATGATGATGATGATGATGATGATGATGATGATGATGATGCTGACGATGATGATGCTGACGATGATCATGATGATGCAGCTGCTGCTGCTGCTGCTGATGCTGCTGCTGCTGATGATGATGATGATGCTGATGACGATGACGATGCTGATTATTATGATGATGCTGATGATGGGTGTAGGAGGTGGATGTGGAGGGGGATGATGAACCACTAGGTTCATCCAGCAGTGCGTCTGCAATGAGCTGAGCAAGCTGCTTACGCCGGACAGGAAGCCCATCAAATTCCAGAAGGAGCGCGCGTCAGGAAGTTAAGTGCCACTTTCGCTTGTCCTTCCGTCGCCCTCCTCCCTCTTTCCGCCTCCCTCCTACCCCCATCTCTCCCTTCCTCCGTCCCTCCTGGCTCCTGGCTCCATCTCTCCTCCTCCCCCTATCCTTCTTTCCTGCGAGGGGGAAGGAGGGTGTAGCGAGAGGGCCCTAAGGGAAGGATGAGTGCGGGACGAAGAAGGAGGGTGCGCCATAGAGAGAGAGAGAGAGAGAGAGAGAGAGAGAGAAAAGGAAAGAGAGAGAGAGGGAGACAGAGAGAGAGAGAGAGAGAGAGACAAAAAAAAAGAGAACGAGCACAGAGGGGGAGCCGTGCTTCTGCAACAGAGGGCAGGCACCAGCCAGGACGGGGGGGCACCAGTCCGCGCAGGCCCCAGTGGGCGCGTCAGGGAAGGGTGGCCGCCTCGGGGAGGGCGCTCGCTAGACTTCCCGCGACGGCCTGCAGGAGGCTAAAGGCATTGATTTTCCATTGGTTTCTCGCTGGTTTTTACGACTGCTCGCTCTGCGGGCTACTGGCGCTCCAAAACGGCCCCACCTACTTAGGCCCCCAAGGTCGCCCCAGGACGGCCCAACAGAGACCCCTGTCCTCTCCTTGGGCCAGGCAGCTGCGTGGGTGGGTGGGGTGGGGTGGGGGGGGGAAATTGTGCGCGGGCACGCAGAGGAGGAGGAGGAGGAGGAGGAGGAGGAGGAGGAGGAGGAGGAGGAGGAGGAGGAGGAGGGGAGGAGGGAGGAGGAGGAGGAGGAGGATGCGGAGGAGGAGGCGGAGGAGGAGGAGGGGAGGAGGAGGAGGAGGAGGCGAGGACGAGGAGGAGGAGGAGGGAGGAGGAAGAGGAGGAGAAGGGTCAGGAGGAGAAGTAGGAGGAGGAGGAGGAGGGAGGAGGAGGAGGAGGAGGAGGAGGAGGAGGAGGAGGAGGAGGAGGAGGAGGAGGAGGAGGAAGGAGGATGAGGGGGAGTAGGAGGAGGGGGGGGAGGGGGAGGGGGATGTGGAGGGGAGGGGGAGAAGGATGAGGAGGAGGAAGAGGAGGGGAGGAGGAGGAGGAGGAGGAGGAAGGAGGAGGAGGAGGAGGAGGAGGAGGAGGAGGAAGAGGATTAGCAGGAGGAGGAGGAGGTGGAGGAGGAGGAGGGCTATGAGGAGGAGGAGGAGGAGGAGGAAGAAACATAAGCAGAAGCAGAAGCATAAGCATGATAATACTAATAATAATAATAATGATAATAATAACAATACTAACACTAAGAATACTATTAATACGAAGAAGAAGAAGACGCAGACGAATACAAACGAATGCTAATAAGCAGATTATAAAAATAATGCGAATAATAAGCATGTTTAGAATAATACGAAGCATACGAATAATACTAATAATGATACGACGAAGACGGGCAATACTACTAATAATCATAATCCGAAGAAGACGAATACGAAGACGAATGCGAAGCCGAAGAAGCATCATACTATTACACAAGAAGAAGACGAATCCGAATACTCTGAATACGAAGAATAATAAGACGACCAAGACGACGAATGCTACTAATAATAATAAGCATAATAATATGACGGCGAAGAGGAACCATAAGAATAATACGAAGAGGACTACTCATGCGACTAAGCATAATAAGAAGAACACGACGACGAGTAATAATAATAATACTAAGACGAATCATAAGACGAATGGTACGACTAATAATACTAAGACTAATGAGGATACTAATACTAAGACGGATAATAATACGGAGCGAATAAGACTAATAATAATAAGACGGTGAATACTACGAATACTAAGACTACTATAAGACGAACAAGCATAATAGTACTAATCATAATATTAATACTAATACGAATCGCAAGACGAATATTACTACTAACAATACGACGGATCATATTAATACATGTTATTATTTTTGAGATAGTAATATTATTAATCATAGTATCCGCAATCATACTATTACTAATAATACTACTGCTAATAATTCTAACACTAATAGTAATCACACTAATAACACAATACTCGAAACAAAACTAAGAATACTGATACTAACAATACTAATACTAATACTAATACTAAGAATATTATTAATACTATTACGATAACAATATAACAATAATAATGATACTAATACTAATAATACTACTACTACTACTACTAACAGTAATTCTAATAATACTAATAATAACATTAATACTAATAATAAGATTAATAATATTAATAATAAAACTAATAATAATGATAATACTAATAATAATGACAATACTAATACTACTAGTAATACCACTATTAATGCTGACAGTAATAATAAACAAGTAATAACACTATTAATCATGCTAATAATACGAATATTAATATTACTAATACGATTAGTAACAATAATAATAACAATGCTTTTAATACTATTATGCTTAACAATAATAATATTAACAATCATAATAGTAATACTACTAATAATAATAGTAATACTAATAGTATTAATATTGATAATATTATTATTATTAATAATATTATAATTAATACTACTACTACTACTACTACTACTACTACTACTAGTACTATTAATACTAATACTATCATTATTAGTAATAATACTAGTAATGATGATTTTAATGATGATAATAATACTACTAATAATTCTACTACTACTAATAATAATATTAATACTATTAATACTAATACTACTAATAATACTAATGATAATAATAACGATAATTATATTAATAATACTAATAATACTAATAATACTAATAATAATATAATCATACTACTAATAATAATACTAATAATAATAATAATACTAATCATAATACTAATAATAATACTAATAATAATAACACTAATAATAATACTAACAATAATAATAAAATGAGTAATAATAATAGTACTAATAATACTACTAATAATAATACTACTAATGCGAAGAAGAAGATGAGGAGGAGGAGGACGAGGACGAGGAGGAGGAGGAGGAGGAGGAGGAGGAGGAGGAGGGAGGAGGGAGGAGGGAGGCGGAGGAGGGAGGAGGAGAGGGGAGGAGGGAGAGGGAGGAGGGAGGAGGGAGGAGGAGGAGGGAGGGAGGGGAGGGGGGGAGGAGGGAGGAGGGAGGAGGGGAGGATGGAGGCGGGAGGATGGAGGATGGAGGAGGAGGAGGGAGGAGGGAGGAGGGAGCGGGAGGAGGGAGGAGTGAGGAGGGCGGAGGAGGGAGGAGGAGGATGGGAGGAGGGAGGAGGGAGGAGAGGGAGGAGGGAAGGAGGGAGGGAGGATGGAGGTAGCGGAGGAGGGAGGAGGGAGGTGAAGGAGGGAGGAGGGGGGAGGCAGGAGGGAGGGTGGAGGGGGAGGCGGAGGCGGAGGCGGAGACGGGGAGGAAGGAGGGAGAAAGGAGGAGGAGGAGGAGGGGGAGGAGGAGGATGAGGAGGAGGAGGAGGAGGAGGAGGAGGAGGGGGAGGAGGAGGAGGAGGAGGAGGAGGAGGGGAAGAGGAGGGGGAGGATGAGGAGGAGGAGGAGGAGGAGGGAGGAGGAGGAGGAGGAGGAGGAGGAGGAGGAGAAGGAGGAGGAGGAGGAGTGAGGGGGAGGAGGAGGAGGAGGAGGAGGAGGAGGAGGAAGAGGGGAGGAGGAGGAGGAGGAGGAGGAGAAGGAGGAGCGGAGCAGGAGCAGGAGGAAAGGAGCAGGAGCATGAGCAGGCAGCAGGAGCAGGAAGAGGAGAGGAGAGGAGGAGCAGGAGCAGGAGCAGGAGCAGGAGCATGA